CCCCAAAACCCCAAAACCCCAAAACCCCAAAACCCCATTTTGGTGCTGAATAATTGAATTTACTTCCCCATTGCTTGGTAATAGATCGAATGTAGCTTAAGAGTCTCCATTTGCTTCTTGGTCATGGAGCTCTTCTTTAGTTTAGAGGGGAGTTTGGTCCTGTATGATACTGAGAGCAACCTTGAACCGGTTCCTAGTAAAGATCCCTTCTTAGAAGCCCTCCCGGATTTCTTCATAGGGTTTGATGTCTGACAGCGGTAGTTAAGGTACCCTGTCATTGGCCTTTTTGTCTTCAAGAAGGTTAATGAAGATTTCTGCAAAGTCTCATGTGAGTTTTCATTCACACTTGTCTTCTGAAATTCCTGGCTCTGATTTAAATTCCTTGTAGGTTCCTTAAACATAGTCTTCAAGTTCTTCTTCAGCTCTCTCATGCTATTTATCTACTTTCCTCTTAACATCAATTTTATAGAACAGCTAGATCTTACTCTCAAAAAATCCCACCTTATTTTTCATTCGAAACAGTTTTCTTCCTCTTCAAACCCCCTTTTATAAACTTCCTACCGCTCATACCCCCATCTACCTTCACCCACTCTTTACTCCCCCTACGCATGCCATGAACTTCATCCCCAACCTTAATCTCGCCCACTCTCTTCAGTTTCTTTCCCCCATGTAGCCTCCGGCAGGCACTCGAGCTCGCTCGAGTGCCTGCGAAGAGGAGATGGGGGTTAGCCTGAAGGGAGTGGAAGGATTTACTTAGATTTGGAGGGGAAATTGACTGGGTGATGGGCCGGGGGTGATATTGTTTAGAGCCTTTGTAGGATGTTCGGGGGCGATTTTTGGGTGTTTTGAGACTTTTTGTTCTATTTTTAGGGAATTTTTTACCTTGAAGGAGATTTATTTAGAGCATATTGTTTTTGAGAGACTCTGGCTTGAATCTTGCCTCATTGGAGGATCTATATGATAAAATTATCAATTTTTGGTCTAATTTTTAAGTGATGTTTTATCATTCATTTATCATCAATCATCAATCAATAGTGATTGATTTATGATGTTTAAAATCTCTTAAGAAATAATTTATAAAAACATATTTAAGTGACGAGATAAGATTTCACATACTTTTCTTCTTAAATAGATCCCAGTGATCACCAATGATAACTTTAGCTATATATTTCCACCCAGTAGTCTTTTTTGGTCCAAAAGTGATGGGAGGAATGTCAAAAGTTAAAGGATCGATGAGTTCTCCTATAAAATATTAGCTTCACCAATATTTTAAAGGGAATACTTACACCGAGTTTCTTGGACATTTCCTTTGACATCCATTGATTTTTGGCCCTAAGTAGAGTGAGATCAAAGAGGTATGGCAACAAACTTACTTTATTTTCCATTCAAAGTAAAAATTAAAATTATTTTTGAAATAGGGGTTTTGGGGTTTTGGGGTTTTGGGG